CCATATATCATTCTCACCCACAATCAACACTCATCCACCTCAACTACCACAACTGACCACCCCATCACCATCAACAACCATAGTCGGCACTGCCCATCATTATAACCTACCACCACCCACCCACCACCTTCCTCAGTCACAACTACTACCACTACCCGCCATTATTAACTATCACCATCCACCACCACCATCCTCAATCATTATCACCACCACTACCAATCACTACTAGCTACTAGCATGAACCACCATCATCAACCAAAACTACCATCAACCACCGCCTCTAGTTGGCATTCACCCGTTAGCCATCATCAACAACAACTATCATATTTTAAAAAACTATATATTTTATTGATAGAATATTAGATTAGTTAATATTTTATTTGAATTTTATATTATTAATTTTCAAATAAAGATAAATTTTATACATTCAAATGTTAAAAATCAAACAGTCTTGATTATTTCTATTCAGATCTTAATACACATCTTAATATATTCAGATGTGTATTCAGATTCAGACGTCTTAATCTTAAAAAAAAACAAATGAGGCCCAAAGCTAAATAAGAGTTGAGTAACTACCGCAACATTAAGTAAATATGAGTTGCACACAGGGGTGAAGCTACATTTAGTTAAGGGTGGTCAGCTGAGCACTCTTCATCGAAAAATTACACTGTATATATATAGGTAAAAGAATATGTCTTGAAGGTATATAATATATATTGAATACCTTTGTCGCAAATTTTTTTTACTTCTTTCAAATTTGAACTCCCTTGGAAAAATTTCTGGCTTCGCTATTGACGTCACATGAGGAAACTATGCAAGTCTAAAATAACAAGAACAACATCGTAACAATATATAAATATTGTGCATTATTCCAAAAAATAGCGGTCATATTCTATAAGATAAAAACTCATTATAAATTTGATTAATTTTACATTAGTCATTAATATACTATAAATCTCATCCTTTAATCGGATTAAGACCAGTAAAGTTCATATAAGCTAAGTCAAAAGTACGTGGCAGGCCTAAAACAAACAAATTAAGTTAATTTCTTCGTTTTCATACATACAGTTCTAATAATCAGAAAAGAACACAAGTTAAAAAATGTTAGCACGAAAAATAAAGTAATTATTGATGATTGGGAAGGTTCATTCACACGAGTTAAAATAGTCTTGACATAAATTTCAAGACTGCAAATAAATATTTACATGTTTAGGGCCAAGGACTTCATCTTTTCTTTTTTTGGTTTCCCACCTGATGTTCGATATTCACATTGAAGCTCGACTATATATGAATTCGCGTCGCATAGGACTCTATTCCAAAGAAGCGCTCCCTGCCAAGGATTTTTCCATACTCAGTACTCGAACCGAAACCTCTGATTAAGGAAAAATAGTAAGAGGGCTAGGGTCTATAGAAGCAAAAACCAAGAGCTCTTGATTACCTACTATCATGTTCATTTCTTCCTCATCTAATGTCACCCATGCTTCAATTCCATCAACACACTTAGTTTCCATAAGTATAATAAGATTCATGAAAAATAAACACCTTGAACTTATACTGCTAATCCATATTGGTTTTCCAAATCCAAAATCAATATCATAGAATCCAAACTTACACCAACTAGTAAAACCATAGTGATCTGCACCTTTTGAGCAAAATTCTCCAATTTCCTTAAGAGATTTTCTCATCAAATTAAACCCTTCATCACTTCTCATCCTTTTGATATAACGATCATCGATCCTCGATATAGATTTTCGTACTTGATTCACCAAATCAGGCAACTCCATTTCATGTTTTGCTGTATTCTTTGCACTTGATAGCCAAAGAAGATTTCCAAGAATGTTTTCAGGCAAAGATGGTGCTGCTCTTTTTCTCAAGTTCACAATGTGTGTGAGAATCGAATTCGAATGCCTCTTATTAGAACAATTTTTCTGTTTGGATGCAGCTATTGAACATTTCCATATGAAAGATGAGACAACCTCAACTTTAGTAGGATGTTTTATATGTGAGCTAGTTGACATAGTTTTAAGGTTGTTTATAGCAGATGCATTAAAAACAAATCTTCTTGTAACAAAATTACCTTTCTTGAACATTGAACTCCACATGGTCATAGATGTATCTCTTAACCACAAATCCTCAGCTGGAAAAAAGTAATTAGCCATTAAATTAGGATATTGTACATCATTTGAACTACAGGCTAATCCAGCCCAATATTTGAGAAATGTACTTAACCCTACTCCATCAAGAATCTTATGTGCTATACATAAACCAATTGCAATTCCACCACATTTGAAAACATTTATTTGAATGTTAGTTACATAATCCCCTGCAGCTAATACCTTAAAAGGAGGTTGACAAGGAAGAAATTGACTAATCGATTCGAGGTTTGGTTCGTTTAGAAACTCGATTAGATGGCAATTAACATTGGTTGTAACATAATTAACTCCTTGATCGTTGCAATCGATGGAGAGTTCATCTTTAAACCTTCCTGCAAGTGGATAAAAGCGATACAAAGTATCAACTAGTGATTTCTTTAACAATGCTGATTTTTCGTGGACTTTAATATCGCCAAGATTTGGATAGAAGAGTAAAATAGGTGCATAGGGAGCTGGAATGAGTTGATCCAAGAGACAAAGATTAAAGTTTTTGAGGTGATTTGGTGTTGGAGATGAAGGTTGGATCATTTCTGTGGAAATGAGTTTAACTTTTATATTCATCGTCTTTGGCTTATGAGAGTTGAGTGTGTTTTGATGTAGGAAGAAAGATGAATAATGCAAAAAGCTTATAAAGATAGTTGTTGAGTGACATAACAGATGCCTAGCATCTTTTAACTTTGTCATGTACATAAATGCTAGAAGAAGGAATCATTCTAGAAATCTTAGTAATCTCTAGTTCTAGTTCCATTAATTAATTGTATACTTGGATAACAATAACTTGCCTATGATAACAATTATTGTTAGTCTGGTCAGATATGTGCGGGTCGAAAATGAGTAGCGCAAAAAACAGATAAATTATCCGACCCGACCTATATTTAATACGGATAAAAAATAGGTTAATCGGTCGGATAATATGGATATCCATATCTTCTTGAATATGAACGTTTTTTGGGAGAATTCCCATTCTGCTAAACTTGAGGAATCCCATTTGAGACTTTACCAATGTAAAAGTTAAACTCATTAGTCTTCAAAAGGAACGTTTCTTTTGAAGAATAAATGAAAATTTTACCTTATCAATTTTTGGCAATGTCATTTTTCTCTAAACCAATTATCCAATCATTCCCGTGACTTTATGGGCTATCTATTGGTTATTCATTTTCTATGTGGATAATATGGTTCTTATCCATATTTAACCCGTTTTTAAAAAATTCATTATCCAACCTATTTTTAATGAAAAATATGGGTGGATAAGTGTTTTCTTTTAACCATTTTATCACCGCTAGTTAGAGAATACTAGTTCCTCATTGATTGTGTAAGAGATTTCAAAGAAGTTAATATAGTGTCATGCGCTACCCCATTCATTGCTTATGGTTTTGAATTAAATACTCATCTAAATTCACAATTATCACATAAAAATTGAAAAGCACTATATGTTTGATGCTGATGTCTATGTAGATTAATGCAATTTGTATGCCTAGACTGATGTTGCAGGCTAAAGGATCCTTTCAAGAGTACTATAAGTTAAACATTTCTCTTGTATCGCTTTTTGACATTGAATATATCGTTTAATTAGTTAGTTAGCTGATTAATTTAACAAAAAAAATAAAATCTTACTGTATTATCACAAATCAAAATGTTCAGAAAACAACCAACATGATATATTGTCGCTGCACCACCAAGAATTGTGGTGAGATAGATAAGATCTCTCAATTTTTAAATCAAAGGTCTTGAATTCGACCAGGAAATGAAACAATGTTAGTAGGAAGCACTTCTACTTTTTAATGACTAATGTGTTTTAGGTGGCGTGAATCCGGATTAGCCCTTCCCAAAAAAAAAAAAAAAAAAAAAAAAAAAAAAGGAAAAAAAGAAAAAGAAGAAGACAAATTGCCGCTGCACCATTAGCAAGCTACTGCAACTTACTCTTTGATGTCTTTCACAAATAACAAAAAGAATTAAATATTAAAAAGAAAAAGTTAGAAATGGATGTAAAAACAAGGTTAGAAATGGACGAGTCCTACTATACTTTGTTACACATGTTAACTTTATAATGTTATTAAAAATAATATAATTAACGCTGACCTTAAGTTTGAAGCTAAAGTTTAGGCACTTCAACCATTTTTCAAGTGGCATCTCTCTGTTAAAATTCTCTTTATTCAGCTAAAAAAGTCCATTGAAGGCCATCTTTCCTTTCTCATTCTCTTCAGCAATTTTTTGTTGAATGTTTAATTTAACACATTATAAATTACAGTATATAATATATGATTAAATTAAATATATGTTTACTTTGTAAACAAAATAAAATCTTGCATATAATTATGAGAGTTAGTTTTGTCATTTTAGTATTTTTAATTCATGTAGTACTACCACCCAGCATTCTTAATTCACGTTCTATCCCGCACAAAATAATACATTAATTTTTGCATAATATACATTATTTATGAGGAAAACAAATAAGCAACCAAACATTAGTACTATAAATTAATGAACTTTTTTTTGTGGAGATTAAATCTTCTCAAATCCCAACCAAACAGCCGCTTAGTGTTAATTAGATAGAATAGCAATCTTAGTGATATGTGGAACGTGGCAAAGTAGGCCCTCGACATAAAAAAAGATGAACAATACACTATTTAAATAACAAAGAGAGCTAGAATCTGGATCACTTGAAGGCTAGATTACTACCAGATAAAGCCTAAGAAAAAAACTGCTCAACTAATAACATGTGAAGTTTTGTATATACCACTAAAGCTAGCTTTTGAGGTAACATATATTTATGCTTTTATACAAAGGAAGAGAAGAGGACTGTGAGAAGGGTTAATCAATCATAGTAAAGGATATAGCAAGCCATGTATGGTAATAGGTGACTTTAATGCAGTGTTAAATGCAGATGACAGAATAGGTGGAAAGGAAGTGACATGGGCTGAAGTGGTGGATTTTCACAATTGTGTAATGGAGTGTGGATTAATGGAATTGCCAGCACAAGGGAATAAGTATACCTAGAGTGATAAACATGAGGAGCATAGGATATTCTCAAAATTGATTAAATTTTTATCAATGATCAATGGCTTACTACTATGCCAGAGTGTACTGTCAGGTTCCTGGCTGAAGGAATCAGTAATCATTGTCCAGCTAAGGTGACCTTTGTAGAAGAGAGGCAAAGAATCAGAAGGTCTTTTCAATTTTGCAATATTTGGGCAAAGCATCCACAATTCATGAGGACAGTTAAAGAAGACTGGCAATTAATCTGGAAGAGTGCAAAATGTTTAAGGTTGTTAAAACGCTGAAACTGCTAAAGAAGGGACTAAAAACATTAAATGCACAGGCTTTTAATAACATATTGACAGAAACAAATGAAGACAGGGCTAATCTAAAGAAGGCTCAAGAGCAGTTGCAGAGAAGACCCTTAAATGTGGAGTATCAACAAGCTGAAGCTAAAGCATATGAGAAGTTTAGGAATTCATCCTACTTAGCTGAAGTATATTTACAACAAAGGAGCAAAGTAATATGGATAAGATTGGTAGATGATAATACCAAGTATTTTCATTGAGTAATCAAACACAGGAAACTGAAGCAGTCAGTTACTCAGATAAAAGACAGCTCTGGAAATTGGCTAACAGATCCAGATAGAATTGCAGATACTTTTGTTGAGTATTATGAGAACTTATTAGGGAGGACAACAAATGAGAGAGTGATGACTTTCAGGAGTATAATCAGAAATGGAAGCAGATTATCAGAAACACTTCAAGATGAACTAATACAACCTTTCTCGAGAAGGGAAGTAAAGCAAGCTATGTTCCAAATAGACATCAATAAGAGTCCTGGTCCATATGGATTTGGGAGTGGTTTTTATAAAGCAGCTTGGCCAATAGTGGGAGGAGATATTACTGAAACAATATTGGAGTTCTTTCAGAATGGAAGATTGCTTAGACAGATAAACACTATTAACATTGCTTTGATACCTAAAGTGGAGGTTCCTTAGAATGCAAGCCAATATAGACCTATTTCATGTTGCAATGTATTATATAAATATATATCAAAGATGATATATTCTAGATTAAAGCCAGCAATCAACTATATAGTAGCAGAAAACCAATCAGCATTTGTACAAGGAAGGTCTATGATGCATAGTGTGCTAATATGCCATGATCTACAGAGACATTATAATAGGAGGACTACTCCTAGATGCCTAATGAAGATTGATCTAAGAAAGGCTTATGACATGGTGAGCTGGGAGTTTCTAGAAGAAGCATTAAGAGGATATGGCTTTCCTGACAAATTTATACAGTGGATTATGATATGTGTTTCTATTGCAAAGTTCACAGTCAAAGTTAATGGAGAAGGGCATGGATATTTTGCTGGTAAGAGAGGACTGAGGCAAGGTGACCCTATGTCACCATTGCTATTTGTCTTAGTCATGGAGTATTTGTTCAGAACATTGAGTATAATCAGCAGGTTATCAGACTTTAGATTTCATCCTATGTGCAAAGAGATCAAGATGACTCATCTTATTTTTGCTGATGATCTGATGATATTTTGCAAAGGCAATACTAGTTTTGTGAATAGAGTGATGGAAGCCCTTGATCACTTCAGTAAAGTTTCAGGATTGATTGCCAACATTGAGAAGTCAAATATCTTTGTATCTGGGGTTGAAGATGAAATCAAAGCACAGCTGCTGAGTAGAACAAAATTCACTGAATGAGTGTTCCCTATCAAATATTTGGGACTGCCTCTATTACCTAGGAGATGGAATAACATGGTGCCAAATGCTGATTGGAAAGATCATACACAGAATTAATATCACATATTCTAAACAATTGCCATATGCATGAAGGCTTCAAGTAGTAAATGCTATCCTATTTTCTATCCATAGGGGGGATGTTTTTATCTTCCCTTAAAAAGTGGTGAAAGGAGTAGACATGTTACGCAGAGAGTACTTGTGGGGCAAAAAGGAGGAGATGAGTAAGGTTGCCTTGGTTGCATGGGATAAAGTATGTTGTCCTAAAAGCATGGGAGGTCTAAACATTAAGGGATGTAGGGAATGGAATATAGCTTCAGTTGGGAAACTTGTATGGCAGTTAATATTGATCAAGGAGTCTTTTTGGGTAAGGTGGGTTCATGGGGTTTATATGAAGTCAAATCAAGATATATGGACACATTGACCACCTTCAGATAGCAGCTGGTACTGGAGGAAGCTAAACTCAGTAAAAGAAGGGATAAAGGAGTGGTACTCACAGGGCAAATACATTCTAAATCCTACAGGGAAGTACTCTATTAATAATAGCTATCTTGCAATAATTGGTAGACAACATAAGCTGGAAGTTGGAGATTTAGTATGGACAATAATAGCTCAACCTAAACACAGATTCATAGGTTGGCTAGCAACACTTGGGAAATTGCTGACAAAAGATAGGATGATTGGGATACAAATACAGGTTGAAAATGTTCATTTTATTTTGTGTAATGAGGATGCATTGGAATCTCAGGATCATTTGTTTGCTAAATGTGGATGGATAATAGCAGTAAGACAAGAGTTGAACATATGGACAGGGCATGAAGTACAGTATATGATCGAGGCCAACCCTGTACTACTATGAAGTAGTAAGAGAGGTCGAAACAGCTTTTACCCGAGAAGGTCGGGATCGATTTCTACAGGGAGCTAGATATTGGAGTTGAGTTTCTATCTAAATGGGAGTTGTGTAATTGTTCCTAATTTCACTTCTAAACATTGTTTGTTTTGGTTTTACTTCTAATTTTATATTACTACGATGCTAAATTAAGCTAAGTAAAGCTAAGATTGAACTATTGAGAGTTGATCAAAAAGATAAAAGGCACTAGGATAGTGACTTTCTCCTAGGTGGTTAATTGACGGATTCTTGAGTCTAAGGCTAGATTGTCACATTTGGGGATTATGATATAACCATTGCATGATTCTACTCACTCTATACCTCTCAGTAGTTCGAGTGATTTTGCCCGAATTGACTTTCTCAAGACTAATTGGGTATGCAGATTTGTACAAGCAATTGTGGTTCAAGTCGGGTATTATTATCTCTAGGTTTAACCCTTTAATTGGGGCTATCAATCTCTTGAATACGCCCAAATTCCTTGTTGGACTAATTTCATGGACTTAGGCTCTCTTTCTCAAGAAGAGCCAAAGTCTACTAGACATAAACTAGTGTTTGCAATCACTAATTCAACATTAAAACCCTAAATTAGTCCAAATATCAAACACCCACAACCAATCAAGCATCAAAACACAAAACCCATCAATTACCCATACTAGGGTTGAGCCACAACCCTAGTTAATGGGTCTAGCTACTCATAATCATAGAAGAAAACAAAGAAATAGATGAAGAAAAGCCCATAATAATTAATTACTGAATAAAATTCAAAGATTCAATGTTGAAACTAAGCTAAAATGACTCAAAATGGTAAAAGAGAAGAAGTCACGAGCGCAGCTCTACGTCAAAAACTATCTAATGACCTAAAAATGGGAAAAGAAATTATTTATACTAGGCAAAAAATTTTGGACAAAAATACCCATGCGGGGCTAGTGCGGACCGCACAAAATCGAGTGCGGCCGCACTAGGGCTCTTGGCTTGACTAATTTGCTCTCTGAAGTTGGCCACCGCAGACCGCACAAAATGCACCGGGCCGCGGTGGCTTCTATTGTGATCCGCACAAAATGGACCGCGGACTGCATTGACCAGGTTCCCCAAAATGCCACATCTCTGAACTTTGGCTTTGCGGACATACGAAATTGAGTGCGGCCGCAGTGGAATCAATGCAGACCGCACAAAGTCCTTTGCGGCCACATTGCCTGGCTAACTGAGAAGCATACTCTCTGATCTTCATCTTTGCGGGCCGGACAAAATGGTGTGTGGCCGCATTGGTCCTGTTTGACTAAGCTTGGTCTTGGTACTTGTACAAGTTTCACTCCTTTTTGAGCTGGTTTTTGACACCTTGTCACCTTATTGATCAAACCTGCAATCAAGTACAACTCGTGAGCCTTTGGGACTATTTTGTACACATTTCTAATCAAAACTTAAGCAAGAAAGAGTGTAAAATGCATCATAATCCCTAGTTATCAACTCCCTCAAACTTAAGCTTTTACTTGTGATCAAGCAAACAAAATAAGACCCACCCTTTAAGAGTCAATCCAAGAAAATTCAACGGACCTAAAGTGACCTCATCTAGCATCAACTAGAACTAACAATTTCCCTCAATTCAAATGAATCATTAACAACATTCACTCTTTTAAATGCCATAGATTTAGTGCGACACAAGAGCATCAAGAGTTGACTCAACACATCAAAGAAACTCTTTCTATTACTTTGGTCATTGTGGAACTCAAACTCACATATCCTCAACTCTCCCTAAGCAAATCTCACCTTTAGGATAGTGGCACTCAGAACGAGGTTAATGGACTACACTCATCTCTCTTAAAGAAAAGTCACAAGTCCGGCTCTTAGTACCATATGCTTGCCCCTTATGTAAGTTACCACTAATGAAAGTTTCATTCAACTCAAGATCATATAGGGCTTTTGTGGAGACATAGTGAAGGTTTTTGGTTCAGGGTAGGAAATGTTTGGTCTAAGTAGGTTCCAGCTTCCCTTTGGCACTTCTTTCGCTTTATTTTGGCGCACATTCAATTGCCTTTTTAAGGCATTCCACTTCTTTCTAAGGGGTTAGAGAGACACACTGTCACTCTTTCTTGTTCATTTCAAATCTTTTCTCCTTTCTCAACTTTCCACACCTTTCATTCTTTGCTTTCATTTAATCCCTTTGTTCATTTCTACATTGAACATTCTTTTTGTCTTTTTGCTTTTCTTTCTTTTTCATTGCCTTTCTTTTTCTTCATTTTGTACCTTTTTACCACTTTGTTGCAATCCTTGTCTCTCCCCCCAAAACTTCTGCTTTTTCCATGTGCTAAGGAAATATCGGGTGCCAAGAGAGGGTATCTTTAGAACGGGTAAACGCTTGTGACATGGTTCTTGAAGGAAAAAGGTCTAAGGCTCAAAAGGGTTGACAAGGGATTTTATCATTGGTAGGCTATGGAAGTGTTCAAGATATCATTTGGATCAATGAGATCCTATAATCATGTCTCAAGTCAATTTACACTTAGGATTTCTCCTAGACAAACATTCAAGGCAAGTTCTAGACCAATGGCTCGGGACTTGGGCTTGCAATGTAATTTCTCACCACACAAGCTATGAGATCGCTAAAGACCCAAAGTCGGAGGCCCACAACAACCTTAGATAAGATTTGAGCACACAATGGTCCCGAAAAACCACTTGATGATTATCGGCCAACACAAGAGTCTCAAGGTCATAACTTTCACCATCCTATACACAACGATTTATTTTTGACCATAGGATCAAAGGCAAATGTGTTAGGCCCAAGTGAAGCTTTGCTTGAGGCACCCTTACCACTAACCATTAAAAAAGCAAAAAAGAAAAGAAAAACAGACTCAAGCCCTTAAAAAGGTTGTCATGCCATCCATCATCGGGAAGAGCCACCCGGTTCACACATATTCCACCTTTGGAAAGAACCGTGACATTAAGAAAACCAAAAGCTTATTACAAAAACTCAAAACAAGATGCTACAAATATAAAATAAGAAGCTAAGAAAAGGAAAAATACAGAAAGTAGAATGAATATGTACAAGAGGGGATTTAATCGAATATACAATAGGGGAGATAATATATAATGAAATGTAACTTTTATATACAGACCCAAGGTAAAAAGTACGAAAATGTAATGAAATGCTGAAATTATATACATACCAAAGATAAAAAAGAAAGAAAGAAATCATAAAATTTGTCATATATATACAGTCATCCAAATCCAAATAGGTCCCTACCCCCTCAAATGAAAGTTAGCATTGTCCTCAATGCCAACTAAGCAAAATAAGCACAAAAATAGAGGAAAGAGGATAAAGGAACTCCCTATGGGCCGTCCGTCTGCATGGGGTACTCTCTCT